AGCTTGAGACACACTTAGATGATTTCAAAGCCTGGTAATGGGTTACACCTCTCTCCTGTGAATCACAAACACTGTTCCAGTAGAGGATGTAATCAAGAAAACACCCATTATTTAGTGTAAGAATGTGGCACTAGAAATAGCCATAGTCTGTCAGAGCAGAATAGGAGGCTCTGTCTCAGGTTGGGTCAGGAAGGACAAACATTGGTGTCTGGAAAACTTCCAAGAGGAGGCGATGAGTGTAGATGATTGAGGAGGAGGAGCAGGGTGTGCAGTCTGTGGGAGTGGCTTGTCTGGGCAGAGGGGTGGTTGGAGGCTGGCATCCTGTCCTCACGTGCTGTGTGTGTTACAGCGCACAGTACACACCTTAGCAGGTTTTTCTTTTTAATTTTTATTTATTTATGATAGTCGGAGAGAGAGAGAGAGAGAGGCAGAGACACAGGCAGAGGGAGAAGCAGGCTCCATGCACCGGGAGCCCGACGTGTGGGACTCGATCCCGGTTCTCCAGAACCGCGCCCTGGGCCAAAGGCAGGCGCCAAACCGCCGCGCCACCCAGGGATCCCTTAGCAGGTTTTTCTAACTGTGATTAACCAGATCTCTTCTCCAGCATATTCATTTTTTAGGAAGGATAAACATTAACTGCTTTTTCTCTGTACCTGTTTTCTTTAGTTCCTATTGAATTTCATCTCTCTATCTTATCTTATACATCTCTATTAAAAGAAGAAATAACACTACCTGTCAGATTGTGACATGCTATCAGTTCTAAGATATACTATGATTTTAGAGATACTAAATTGTAAACAAAACAAAAAGTGCTTCTAGGATCCATACAATATAATACTTGTGTTAGATATGTTTAGTTTTTTTTTAAGTGAAGGAAATCTTGCTAGAACGGCAGTCACATGCCTTCTTTTCAGCTTTAATTTTAGGTGATGCCTTAAAAAGTCTACCATCCAGATCAATACCAGCTTCGTTTATCTTGAAAGCTTTAAATCTGCCATGATTATAACGAAATTAGCTTTGATTGAAATATTGGAGATTACAACAAATGAATTTTGCTAAGATTAGAAAAGATAAGGTTTACTAGACTATAATACAGAGCTTAAAAACTGAAGTAATGTTTAGTGACTTTTGGATGAGTTATCTGGGCGGTCTTAGCTTTTACAATTACATGTCCAGACTCCTAACTGTGCCATTCTTGCCTCTCTCTCCTCCCCCACCCTAGCGCGCTGATCTTACTTGTGAGCTGAAAAGTCTGGGTAATTTAAAAGTGCCCCAAAATAGTGTCATTCCATCATTCATTCTGACAGCAGCATGTTCATCAAGGACTGCTCTTGAGAGCAAGTGAGCACAAGCCGTGCTTTTATGAGTGCATGCTAACGGGGCTGCTTGGGGCCCATGGTGGGAGGTAAGCATGCCGATACCAGTTCTGGCTAGAGTTCTGGCATCCAGAAGCCAATGATGTAAACACTCACTGCCTCGTGGTGTTGAGAATATACTGCGGGCTGCTGCAGCAGGCAGAGGAATAAAAATACTCTGAGGAACTGCGGGAAGCAGAGCACTCTACTACTTGTTAGTGAACTATAGTATTAGCACGTAAAGGGAAGGTGGTTAAAAAAAAATATTTTAACTAGTTTGAAATTTTGATTTACAATGCATGATTTAGAAAATATATTCTTAAATCCTGAAAAGCATTTACTGTGAAATTACAAAATGTATCATTAGAAGTATAAAATGTGTGTAAACAAGAATAAAAATACATTCTGGCTCTGTTGAAACTGGGAAAGCATTAAACTGTCCCTTCAGTTCTGGACATGTTTGCACCAGATGCAGGAATTACTATTTTTTTCCCAAATTCTATAGATTCCAGGCCATTTATTTCCATATTCAGAAGCCCCCAATTTTATAATTTTCTCTTATGCATTAGTGGACAGAAATAACTGCTGAACTTCTTGTAAAATTGAAATGTATTTATAATATCTAAGAAGAACAGACAAAAAATGCTTTTTCATTGAACAGACTGATGTATCTTAGATTATGTTCAGTATTTCCTCTGTGGTATGGTATGGTGGAGGCTTTCTATCCTGTGTATCATTCATGGAGTCAACCAGATGTTGGTGTGCCTGCCATGCCTCAGATACTGTGAAGGCAGGGGGAGATGTGGGATTCAGAAGGGGATTGCTTAGAGCCTAGTGAGCAGGGGAGAGACATGTTAATGCTGTGATGTAAGTAATAAAGATAGGCATGAAGAGTAACTGGATCACAAAGGACAGAGCATGTAGCCTCCCTGGTGAGAGGAGGAGGTGAAAGGGAGGTTTTGCAACAGTGGTAGCATATGAACTGAATTTTGGAGGGTGAATTGAAGTTTACAGGCAAGCGGACGAAGTGCTCAGGGACAGCAGCCTGAGAGAACTTGACTGGAGTTGAGGGAGCAAGACTCAGTGTGTGAAGGGGCTGGGACTGGGAGGCCAAGAAGGTTATGCTGCGTTGTGTCTGCTGTGCTGGGAGCTGGGAGCTCACCGTGGAGGCCATAGGCTTTGTCAGAGGATATTCTCGGGAAATCCAAGCCTCAAAAGCTTCTCTGGGGAAGAAGGTAGAGGTTCACACGAACATTTGACTCTTAAGTGCTCAGTAGAGAAACCTGTTTCCTGTTTATGTACTAGAAAAAAAAATCATTTGGGAAGGGCTGCTGTTCAGCAGTGTGGAACTCCTGAGTGTTTTTAAGTAAAGGAATGACTTCATTTGGAAAGTGAACTGGCAATGCCAGAGGTGAAGTTGGAGTGAGGAGAGGTTGGTGGCAAGGAAACCAGTTGAAAACTGTTACCAATTTTGGGTACATAGTATCTGATCATCAATATAAAGATGTTTAATCTCAAAATTTAGGAATTTAGGGCACTTTCAAGGAAACTATTTTAACAGTGAACTAAAATACTTAATTGACAGCTGAGATTTTAAGTGAGAGGAGGATTTTGGGACATGCAAGTTTTGTTTCTGACTCTGATCAAAGAATAAACTGAAATATTTCATAATACTGGTTAAAGAAAATCTTTGGTTTGAATTGTACTTCAGGAGTAATTTTTTTAAATAAATAAATAGATAGATAGATAAATAAATAAATAAATAAGAGAGAGAGAGAGAGAGAGAGAGAGGCAGAGACACAGGCAGAGGGAGAAGCAGGCTCCTTGCAGGGAGCCTGATGCGGGACTCGATCCTGGGTCTCCAGGATCCCACCCTGGGCTGAAGGCAGCACTAAACTGCTGAGCCATCGGGGCTGCCCTACTGAGCCACTGGGGCTACACAGGAGTAATTTTTTTAAAGATTTTATTTATTTGGAAGAGGGTCAGGGGGTAGTGACAGAGGGAGAGAGGAGAAGCAGGTTTCCTGCTGACCCCGACATGGGGCTCAATCCCAGGACCTCAAGATCATGATCTGAGCCAAAGGAAGACACTTAACCGACTGAGCCACCCAGCCACCCCAGGAGTAATGTTTTTTTAAAAAAATCCCTTCTAGGGGCACCTGGGTGGCTCAGTTGGTTAAATCTGACCCTTGAATTTATTTATTTTTTCTTTCTTTTTTTTTTTTTTTTATTCATTTATTTATGATAGGCACACAGTGAGAGAGAGAGAGAGAGAGAGGCAGAGACACGCAGAGGGAGAAGCAGGCTCCATGCACCGGGAGCCCGACGTGGGATTCGATCCCGGGTCTCCAGGATCGCGCCCTGGGCCAAAGGCAGGCGCTAAACCGCTGCGCCACCCAGGGATCCCTGACCCTTGAATTTAGCTCAGGTCTTGATTTCAGGGTTGTGAGTTCAAGCTCCATGTTGGGCTCCATGCTGGATGTGGAGCCTACTTAAAAAAATAAAATAAAAAAGAAATCCCTTCCATTTTGATCACTTTAGATCTTAGATCAAAATGGTAGGTTTATTTTAAAGATTAAGAAAAATACTGGACAATTTTTTTTAACACATGATAATGTATTTTCATGTTTAAGGGCCATTTGCATTTTATTATGATACATTGTTGTATTTGCTCAGCCAACTTTTTAAAACTTTTTTAAAAACTAGGCTCTAAACCCAACGTGGATCTCAAACTCATGACCCCGAGATCAAGAGTTACACACTCCATGGACTGAGCCAGCCAGGCGCCCCTTCCTCAGCCAGTTTTTGAAATAAATGGGATATTTGGTCTTTTTATTATCACTTTTTAGGAGCTTTTTCTATGTTAAGGAGATTAGCCTTTTATTCGTAATTTGCATTGCAAAAATTTTCCCCTCAGTTCGTCTTTTTTGCTTGAATATATCAATCTTTTTTTATAGTGTCTGTTTTTTTAACTAAAGCCAGAATGAGCTTCTGTACACCAAGGTTATAAAAATGAATTTACTTGGTTTTATTCTATAACTTTTATAAATTTATGATTTATATTTAAATATCTGAATTAGTAGGAGGTTATGCTGGTAAAGGATGTGTGATACGAATCCATTTTTTTTCCCCAGATGGGAATTTTAATTGTTCAAACATCAGTCATTGCATAGCCTTTTGCTCTCCTCAGTTTTGAGATATCCCCATCATTTACCATTTTCTGTTTCTGGACTTCATAATTTGTTCCATTGATATATTTATGTACTACTACCATATTGTTTCGAGGCTTTATAGCATCTGGTAATGCTAGTTCCCTTCTTTTGGAATTTTCCTGACTTTTCATTTTAATTTTTCTACATGAATTTTGTTTATTCATTTTAACTTTATTATTTGTGTATTCTCCATACCGAGTGTGGGACTTGAACTCACAACCCTGAGATCAAGAGTTGCATGCTGTTCCGACTAAGCCAGTCAGGCTCCCCTCTACATGAATTTTAGAATTAGCTTATCTGTTTCCCAAAACTAATCCTGCAGGCATTTTGGTGTGGGTGGGAGGAGTGGGAGGTGGAGGGAATTGTTTAAATTTACAGGTTAATCTCCTTATGATAGTAACTTTATGTTGTAACTTTAATCTTTTCTCTTACAGATGATATTAACCGTGTTCTTGAGCAACAACGAACAGATTCTAACAGAAGTTCCTATAACACCAGAAACAACGTGTCGGGATGTTGTGGAATTTTGCAAAGAACCTGGAGAAGGCAGTTGTCACTTAGCTGAGGTGTGGAGGGGAAATGGTACGTGTTAGACACTGCAGATATAAGTGCATAATATTTATAGAATGCAAGGTATTGCTTCTAGTTCTTAGTTATCTTAGTGGTAATGAACTGAGTAATTAAAACCACATTACATGGGGTAAGAGTTTACAGATGCCTTTTGTAAAAGATACGTGATCTGTTCCTTACTAGTGCCATCTGAGATAAGCTTGGAAAATGGATGCAGCTCTTCTGTGAGATCTTTTTTTTTTTTTTTTTTAAGATTTTATTTATTTATTCATGAGAGACACACACAGAGAGAGAGGTAGAGACCCAGGGAGAAGGGGAAGCAGGCTCACTGCAAGGAGCCCGATGTGGCCCTCGATCCTGGCACTCCAGGATCATGCCCTAGGCCAAAGGCAGGCGCCAAACCGCTGAGCCACCTAGGTGTCCCTGTGAAATCTTTTTTGATCTCACTGTGAACCATATGAGAGTTCTTTGTCCTCTGAGGCTTTACAGTGTTTTGTTTCATATGTGTTGAGTTGTTCATCTACTTTTCATTTCGCCTCTGAAACTTCAAGGCAGAAACACTTATATTATTTTTCCCTGTGTACAACACCTGTTAAACAGTAGGCCCTTGAAAAATATTAAGTTGTGAAGAGCAAATGCAGTTGACCCTTGAATAACATGGATTTGAACTGCTCAGGTCCACTTGTGTGTGGATTTTTTTCAGTAAATATAGTGGAAAATTTTTGGAGATTTGCAACAATTTGAAAAAACTGGCAGATGAACCACATAGCCTAGAAATACCAAAACAAAAACAAAAACATGTTTTCCCTTCTCTTAGGCGTATACTTAGGAGTAGGATTGCTGGGAGGTAAGGCAGTTGTTTAACTTGAGGAATTGCCAGCCTCTTTTCCAAAGCAACCATTTTACATTCTCAGCAGCAAATGAGGGTTCCAGTTTCTCCACATTCTTGCCAACACTTGGTATTATGTATATGATTCTAGCCATCCTTGTGGGTGTGAGTGGTATCTAATTGTGGTTTTGATTTGCATTTCCCTAGTGACTAATCATGTTGAGTATCTCTTCATGTACTCATTGGCAATTTGCATATCTTTAGAGAAATGCCTATTTATTTATTTATTTTTAAAATATTTATTAATTCATGAAAGACACAGAGAGGCAGAGACCAAGGCAGAGTGAGAAGCAGGCTCCATGCAGGGGAGCCCGACTTGGGACTCGATCCCAGGTCTCCAGGATCACGCCCTGGGCTGAAGGCGGTACTAAACCACTGAGCCAGCCAGGCTGGCTGAGAAATGCCTATTTTAAATCCTTTGTCCATTTTTTTAATTGAGTTGTTTTTTTATTATTGAGTTATGAGTTCTTTGGTTTCGGAGTATAACTGACATAAAATGTACTAGTTTTATGTATACCTAATAATTTCATATTTGTATATATTGTGAAATGATCACTTTAGTTAAGTCTAGTTAACATCCGTCAGCATACAGTTAAAAATTTTTTTTTCTTGTGACAAGAACTTTCAAGATCTACTCTTTGAGATCTTGAAAAGTTTTCAAATATGCAATACAGTATTATTAACTAAAGTCACCCTGCTGTACGTTACATCCCCAGTAAGAGTTCTTTATATATTCTAGACAAAAGTCCCTCATTGGGTATATGATTTTTAAATATTTTCTTCCAAAGTCTTGTGCTTTTAATGTTCTCCTTAGCATTCACAGAACAAACATTTCAGGGCACATTGAGAGGTGTTTGACTTTGGTAAGTGTTGGGACTATCACTAAACCAGAGGTAAGAGGGTAGGTCCTCAGTTATCAGTCTGATAACAGTGACAGGAAGCAGTGGGACAGTTACATAATGACAGTGTGTTGGGGGACTGGCAATAGAGCCTGATCATTCTTTTTTTTTGACCCTGATCATTTTTATTGTTCCTTCTTCCCCAACCACTTAGCATCTTGTTCTTTGTTACTTGTTATCACTACTAAGTCCTTACCTCCTTCTCCCTCCTTTTACTTTTCCAGGAAGGAATAAACTTTTTCTCTAAGTATCATTGCCCCAGTTGGTCCCTGGTCATGGAGAATGCTCATCTCCCTTACAGGAGTCTCTCAATGGTGCTCTCCTTATCTCCAGGCCCACCTGAAATCCTAACCTGTTGTTTTACCTCATTAGGAATGAGGACTAATGCCTCACAGCAGAGGGTCATAGCATACTACATCTGCCATGGCTTTTGTATATGCCGTTCTTATTGTCTAGAACAATCCTTAGCACCCACCCCATCTTTGCTTGACTAACTTCTGTTCACTCTTTGCCTCTCAGCTCTTCCTTGAATGTCAGTGTTAAGTGTCGCTCCCCTGTGCTGCAATGCTGTTGTTGTATTTATCAGAACATAATGCAGTCATGTTCACATCTCTCATTGGATTACAATTCCTGAAGGCAGCAGGTTGTCTGTTCACTATTATATCCCCTCAGTAAAAACTTAAATCGTTGAGTAAAACAGCAAAGCTGGGTCTTGAAAAGTTATTTTCTAGTGGGTAAGATTCAGAGAAATGGGAAAGCACTTAGAACAGCCATTTTCAGTCTTTCTACCCTTGAGAAACCCTTACCGTAATTTTCAGGTTTCAGAGAATCCTTGAGTAAGAATTATTGTACCTACAACTCATATTAGTATGATCAGTATGTCATAAATATAATATTCCAGTATAATTGTCAATGCTTTTGAGAAGAGACTGCTTCTCTGTGGATCTGTGTATTAGTTTGCTAGCCCTGTCATAACACAGTACTACAGCCTACAGGGCTTAAACACCAGACATTCATTCTCTCCCAATTCTGGAGGCTAGAGATGTGAGATCAATGTGTTGACAGGCTTAGTTTTTCCTGAGGCCTCTCTCCTTGGCTTATAGATGCCACCTTCTCTCTGTGTCTTTCTTGTATGCATGTCTGTGTCCTAATCTTTTCTAGTCTCTTCATTGAATGAGGAAAAACTGGATTGAGGTCCACCCCAGTGACCTTACTTTTACTTAGTACCTCCTTAGAAATCCAGTCTCCAAAGAGTTGCATTCTGAGGTTCTGGGGGTTAGGAGTTCAAACTATGAAATAGTGGGGGGGACACAGCTCAGCCTATCACAGTCTGTCAGTTTGGCCAGTGTATCATATTAGCCTGCTATAATTGTGCTTCCAGGGACGCCTGAGTGGCTCAACGGTTGAGCCCCTGCCTTTGGCTCAGGGCATGATCCCGGATTCCTGGGTTCGAGTTCCACATCGGGCTCCCTGCATGGCCTGCTTCTCCCTCTGCCTGTGTCTCTGCCTCTCTCTGTTATCTCTCATAAATAAATAAATAAACATTAAAAAATAAAGTTGTGCTTCCCTCCCCACACAGGGCCAGCTCTATTGCAAACTAGGTGTGGAGGTAGAACCTTCAGCTTTTTCCTTTTTAAGTTTCCTACTTGATTTTGTTTTTGCCTTATCCAAGAACACCTGAAAGTTTTACCTTACATTCCCATGATAGGAGATGCTAGTGAGGCACAGTATCTTTCACAGGTGTAAGGCAGTGAAACTTAGCTTACTTTTCTTTTCTTTTTTTTTTTTTTAAGATTTATTTACTTATTCATGAGAGACACAGAGAGGCAGAGACACAGGCAGAGGGATAAACAGGATCCCTGCAGGGAGCCTGACATGGGACTTGATCCCAGAACTCCAGGATCATGCCCTGAGCCAAAGGCATACACTCAACTGCTGAGCCGCTTAGGCGCCCAGCCTACTTTTCTTAAAATGGATTTTTTCTTTGAAATATTTAATTCATAAAGGGAAGCAATAAATTTGTTAAATAACTGACTTAGTATAAAATCAGATTTAATGATTATAAAGTTATGCTCAGGGGTTCCTGGGTGACTCAGTCAGTCTAAGTGTTGGACTCTTGGTTTTCACTTTGGTCATGATCCTCAGGGTCCTGAGATCAAGCCCTGCATCAGGCTCTATGCTCAGCACAAAGTCTGCTAGAAATTCTCTCTCCCTCTGCTCCCCTCTCTGAGCTTACGTGTGCATGCTCTGTCTCAAATTATAAAATCTTAAACCTTTTTTATTGGCCTGTATACATAAAAAGTGTTATTTTCAAAACTAAAACTGTAGAATGATATTTACTTCTTTAAAGTTCACTTTGTGCTTGGATTTTTTGTGCAGATACTCAGTTGTGTGCTGAACTTGAGCTAAGCAAACACAGATTTCATTTTCAACTGAGACCATTTCTGTCCTTACTCTGACGTTTAATAAATAAGACCGAGCTTGCACGCATGTCAGGAAGGTGCAGTGTTAGCAGCAAAGTGTGTGTTACCTTGCTGTGAAAGGCGGGACTCTTTTCTTTATAGAAATCTAGAACTTATCTGAGGCAGAGCAATTTATCACACTGTGAATGTATGATTAGACTGCAGCCTGTAAAGTTCTTTCTTTGTCTTGGAATCTACTTCTCTAGGCAGATTTAGAGAAAGCCCACTTCTCAGGATAGACGTAGAGTACGGTCTCTCACCTAGCCATATGCTCATGTGGAAGGTGACGGTGCTGCTGTGTCGTCCTGCCACTCTCAAGTCACTGCCTGTGAGCCTTCCTCATTTCCAAGCACAAGCAGAAGTGGGAACATTTCAATATTTCCTTTTTTCCCTTTAACTTGATATAAAATCTACATATCATAAAAATCACTATGTGAAAGTGTACAATTCAGTGATATTTAGGACATTCACGGTGTTGTGTAGCCATCACCAATCTGTGTTCCCTCCATTCCTTCCTCCGCCAGCCCCTGGCAGCCACTGCATGACTATCTGGCCCTGTGTATTTGAGTATCTAGGTACCCATATAAATGGAATCATAGAATATGTGGCTTTTTTGGTCTGGCTCCTTCACTTAACCAGACCAAATATTTACAAGGTTCATCCATGTTGTAGCATGTCTCAGTACTTAGTGCCTTTTTTGTTTTAATAATATCCATTGTATGAGAGACCACGTTTTATTTATCCATTCAACAGGTGATGGGCGTTTGGATTGTTTCCATTTTTTGATTGTGATAATGCTGCTGCGAACATTCAAGTGCAAGTGCTTGTGTGGACATATGTTTTCACTTCTCTTGAATGTAGGCCTAGGTTTAGAGTTTCTCTTATCTCATACCTTGTCTTCAAAAATTTCCACTTTGGGCTTCCAGGAATGTTTGTAAAACACAAACACTAATAAGATGTAAAACAAAAGGCATAATTAAGCAAGAACTTACCCCCAAAATATGAAAATTCCACAATTCACTTTTTACCTACACCAACCACAGTTGTCAGTGTTGGTAACAGCAAAGAGTGGGGGTGGGGGGAGAGCTCCCAAAGCATAAATCTCTTTAGAATGAGAACTTCTCTCCAGTTTCCCATTACAGAGCTAGAGGTTATGATAGGTCCTATGAATCAGTCTTTGGTGTGTGAGGAAGTGTTGGGGAATATGTTTCTGGAGAAAAAGGCTAATGTCATCAGCCTGTGGTCCTCCCCTCCATTTGCCAACTGCCTGTTTGAGAATCAGGTAGTAGTTGGGGTGGGGGGCAACCTGGCGACACCACCTCAGCTAAGCAGCCAAGGCCAGCATCACAGTGATCTGTCATGGTGATGGCACCATGGTCAAAAGGGTATAGGACTGGGATCCCTGGGTGGCGCAGCGGTTTGGCGCCTGCCTTTGGCCCAGGGCGCGATCCTGGAGACCTGGGATCGAATCCCACATCGGGCTCCCGGTGCATGGAGCCTGCTTCTCCCTCTGCCTGTGTCTCTGCGCCTCTCTCTCTCTCTCTCTGTGACTATCATAAGTAAATAAAAATCAAAAAATAAAAAAAAAATAAAAAGGGTATAGGACCTTTTGGGTGGTGGGATGGGATGAGAAGGCACCCAACCACTGTGGAGTTCTCCCCAAAGCCCACCATCTCAGTCTAACCATGGGAATAACACTAGACAAGTCAAAGTTAGGGACATTCTGTAAAATACTTGATCAGAACTCCTAAAACTGTCAAGGTCATTAAAAAAACAAAAACACGAGGAAAGGACTGAACTGTTATAGACCAGCAGAGACCCAGGGTTTAGACAACTAAATGTAATGTTGTTTTCTGGTTGAGTTCCCGGAACAGAAGAAGAACATTAGGGGAAAAACTGGTGGAATGCAGATAAAGCCTGGAATTTAATTAACAGTAATGCACCAGCGTCAGTTTCTTAGTTTTGACAAAGATACAATAATTAAGATGTTAACATTAGGGGAAACTGGGTAAACTCTTTACTGTCTTGGCTACTATTCTAGAGGTCTGCTAGCATTCAAACATGAAAATTCTTTTTATATATTAGGTAAACAAAATCTGTAAGGTACAAAGAACAGAATTAAGATTTACAAGACCTCTGTGGTGACGTTAAAAATCATAGAAGAACACAAGGTGCTTGAACAAAATGGAGAGACAGAACTACATTCATGGACTAGAAGACTCAATTTACAAAGATTTTGGATCTTCCCCAATTTTTTTATAAATATGATTGTAGTCAAAAGCCTGCATTTTAAAAAAGAACTTGACAAGCAGCTCCTTTAAAATATATGAGAGCAAAGGGCCAAGCAGTGCCAAGACAGTTTTAAAGATAAACCAAGTGAGGGGACGCAACCTAGCAGACAACAGTGATAGTGGGGTAGCAGTGAAGACTAGCATCACCATGAGGTAGGTGGCAGCCCACAGAATAAAAGAGCCCAGGGCTATCCAAGGCCTGTGCCAGGTCAGAGGTGGCAATCACAAGTCTCCAGAGGAAGGAGACAGGAGTATGTAAATGATGCTGGGACGATTGATGATTCAAGTAGGGAAAACAATGTTCCATAAAGACAATGAAAAGCAGTACTTTATCATTTGTAGGAAAAAACTATAGAATATTCTTTTGACCTTGGAGTAGAGAGGATTTGTTGTACAAAAAACTCAGAAAGATTGATAACTGCTTATATTTAAAATTTTTAAACTTCTGTATAATGAAAGGCACCAACAAAAAATTAAAAGACAAGCCTATTTTGGGGGATGCCTGGGTGGCTCAGTTGTGAGTGTCTGTCTTGGGCTCAGGGAGTGATCCCAGGGTCCCCTGATCGAGTCCCGCATCTGGCTCTCCGTGAGGAGCCTGCTTCTCCTTCTGCCTGTGTCTCTCCCTCTCTCTGTGTGTCTCTCATGAATAAATAAAATCTTTAAAAAAAAAAGAAAAAGGACAAGCCTATTTTCAATATATGTAACCAACCAACCCAGGGTTAGTATCCAAAGTATAAATAGTTCTTCATATACCTAATAAGAAAAAGGCACACAGCCCAGCTTTTTGGTTTGTTTTGATTTCTGTTTGTACATGTGGTGTGGTTCTAAGCAAACTAGCAAGAAACCTATGAAATGGTACCTTGTAATTTTAAGTTATGTTAGTGCTCTTCTCAAGAGCACTTGTGCCAATACTCTGGGGGGGGGGGTTTAACATTTGAAGTGTGTTAGTACTTTTTATTCTTAGAACTTATTTTTTATTATCAACTGGGTAGTTTTTGGTCTCTGCAGGTGCTTGCCAACATTCACATCACTGGTCCTGAGTTGTAAGGAGGTACCCTGCCCTATCCTGTGTGTATCTGATTGCCACATACAACATTTTAACCGGTGATGAGGCTAGACCAGTGTGTTAATGTGTTTCTTTGAAGAGTAGGAGTCACACTGTATCCTGATAAATATTCTAGAGGACAGTTTTCAGTGTTCCCAATTTCATGTTGTAGAGTTGACTTTACATATACTACTTTGTTTATGTGCTATCTATATTATTTCCTGGGAACTTAGATTCTTGCTTTTACTTCATTCAAGTTAAAATTTAATGCTTATAATATCCTTGAATTCTAATATATATGTGTGTGTGTACACTTATTTAAATCTATTTTTATTTTTTACTTTTGGTTGTAGTCATTTTGTTTCTGAAATAAGATGTGTTTTTTTTTTCTAGAGCGTCCTATACCTTTTGATCACATGATGTATGAACATCTTCAGAAGTGGGGGCCACGCAGGGAAGAAGTGAAATTTTTCCTTCGACATGAGGATTCCCCAACGGAGAGTAGTGAGCAAGGTAGATAAATGCTTTCCTCATTTGTTAATTCCTGCCATAAAAGTTAAGTAAAATAGGAATAAATGTTAAAATAACTTACATCTTTTTTTCCCTTCACTCACAAGTGGTGAGAGATAGAGTTGGTGTCTGCCATTTCTGTGACTTCTATTACTGCAGTCCATAGCTCCTCCACATGGTGTAGGCCTTGCTTCATTCCCCGAACTCCAGGCCATGCAGGTAATACAGACTCAAACATGTCAGGAGGCCTGTTGTTTAAAGACATTGTTTTTGATAATACTGGATGGGTCAAATATCAAGATTTTAAGAATAAATAAAACCTTGAAAGGTTGAGAAAAATTCTGAGAAGTGTTTCTTTAAAAAACTTTAGAGTGAACAAGACCTTTCTGAGTATAACACTAAGCCATAAAAGACTGGTAAAGCAAATTAATGAAAAAAGAGAACCCCTAAAACTGCGTGGCAATAACCACCCTAAGCAAAGTCAAAAGACAAATTATAAACTGGGAAACAGCATTGATAGCTCATATTGCAAAGGGCCAACTACCTTTATATATGAGTTTCTAAAAAATTGAAAAGGAAAATCAGTTTTTTTTTTAAAGGCAAAATGTAAACACACATGGTTACAGAAAAACAAATTTACTTGGCCCTAGGTTATGTGAAAAGTGTTACTCCTGAGAAAAGAAATTCAGGGGAAGCAATGAGTTAATTTCTCCTGTTAAACTGGTGAAGACTAGAACGCTTACTGACAGTGTTGGCAAGGAGGTTGAGAAACAGGCACTCTTCCATGCTGCCAAGGGAGTGCCAGTAGGCAGCTTCTGCAGAGGGCAGTTTAACAATATCTATTAAACTTACAGAAGCACAGTCTCACTTCTGAGAATTTATCCTAAAGCTGTGCCTACACACACACAAAATAACGTAGACGTAACATAGCTCCTGGGGCATTGCTCGTAGGAGAGCCTAAATGCCTGCTGTGAGCATCGGATCAAAGAAACGATGGTACATCCATACCATGGGCTGCTCTAGTCAGAAATAGGAAGAAGCTCTGAGCCCTGACCACCCCCCCATCTCCTGAACAGGTAAGTAAATAAACAGAGTGCAAAACCATATGCACATTGTGCTTCATTCTGTGTGACACAGACAGAAGCCTAATTCTGTACCTCTGTATTGGCTTGTATGTGCATAAAGTGTCTCAGGAAGCAGTGTAAGAAAATGGTAATATTGCTAGCCTGGGGGCAGGCTGCAGGACAGGCGGGGAGTGGGGGGGCGGCGTTGTGGTGGGAGGGCAAGTTGTTGATTGTATACCTGTTTGTTCCTTTTGAATTTTGGACCATGGGAATATGGTACCTATTTTTGAATTTAAGAATTTAAACAAAATAAGAGAATCTTTTTTTTGAAAGCCTATATATACACTGTGCAGTTAAGAGACCCTTGACTTGCTATTTAACAGTGATTGTAGATTACTTCTGGTATTTAAAAAAAATAAACAAGGGATATCCTTTTGTAAAAAAAAAAAACCTATATTGTAAGTTATCTCCTTTTATTTATATTTTATCATAAAGGACGTTTTGTCCTAGGATAAGCTGCTAGCTACTTTATTTATTTATTTATTTTAAGATTTTATTTATTTATTCATGAGAGACAGAGAGAGGGAGGCAGAGACACAGGTAGAGGTAGAAGCAGGCTCCATGCAGAGAGCCTGATGTGGGACTCGATCCTGGCACTCCAGAATCAACTACTAGCTACTTTAAAACCATCTTTCCTTAGCTATAAGTATTGTTCTAGTGCTGTTTCTTACAATGTGCCATTACTTCTGGGTCTTACTCCATCCAGCTGCTGGTCTCTGGAGTCAGACCAAGGCTCCAGGTCCAGCCCTTCATTCACTTTTTACCTTAGACAAGGGCCCAACCTCTCAGGACAAAAGCCTCCTGAGAAGGAAAACTAGACTAGTTGACAGCTAAGTGCTATTCTAGTGCCAAGAATTTATGTTAGCTCTCTGCCTGAACTCTCCAAATGCTTATACCCCTCCTCTACCTAGCTGTACTTAAATTTAAAATTTCATATTTTACTCTTACTGATATGTGTACATAATCCTTAATGTCTTGGGTGGAGGGCTGAGGGTGAGGTCTTATTTTATTCTCATTTTATAAAGTTTAGAAGTTTTGGGGATACTTGAGCTAACTGTTTGGAGTCATAAGGAAGGTGACAGTGCTCACCTCCCAGTTGACCTTCATCATCACCTACAGTGCTACTCAGCTAGTGGTGCTGACGCAGTGTGTGTGCAGCAGACCAGTGGGAGGAGGGGATTTTGAGCTGCATGGTCTGAAGGGGACAACTGTAAGCACAAAGCATAGTACTTAGAAAAGGCATACTTGGGGACCTTGAAAGATGAACAGGACGTAGAGGGGAGCATGCAGACCAGGATGAAGGAAGCTGCCAGGGAGGTGTAGTGACAGGGATTCCCAGGTTGGCAGGGACCATCAGTCAGGACTGGAAGAACCAAATTCATCATACCTTGCATCACTTTACAGAACCTTCCAGCAAAATCCCCGCCTCCCTACTTGACACTTCCCGGGTTAGTTTAGATGATATTTGTAATAGGACCTTCCCCATCTCTTCAGCCTCCTTCCCCATCCCTTCTTTCTCCCTTTCAGCCACATCCCTTCTTGCATCTTCATATTCTATGGTCCCTAACTCACAAGCCCCCCACCCCCAATGCTCTACCCTCTGCCTTATTTCCTCTTCCCATGCTTATGCAAACTGCACCTATCTCTCAGAGCCCAAGTAATAAGATGGCGAGTGCTTTTGGGGCGCTGTGTGTGGTGGCTCAGTCAGTTGGGCTTCCTGCTCTTGTTTTCCGCTCATCGTAGGATCTTATGGGTGTGGGATCGAGCCCTGTGTCAGGCTCTGTGTTTAGAGGGGAGTCTGCTTGAAAGATTCTCTCCCTCTGCCTCTCCTCCCCACCAGCCCTGTCTCAAATAAATAAACCTTTTTAAAAGGGGGGAGTGCTTTGTTCCCTGATTTGTTTTTGTTCTCTGAGCTTCTCCTGTTTGTATTCTAAGCAGCCAGAGTCGAGGATTCAAGAACATGTTTCCTCTATGCTTCCCACAGAACTGAGTATAAGGCAGTTGTCACCATCTGATATTATTTAAAAGGCGTTACATTTGAGTGTGTATTACGTAGAACTACAGGATATACATAACAAGAAGTGAAAGAACTCCCTCACCAAAATGATGAGAATTCTCTATGTGGGAGCTAGAGGAGAGCATAGAGGATGTTCACTTCAATTACTGATGACACTTGGGGAAACATGCTTGAAGTATAAAGTAGCTCGATGAGGGCCATCTGCAGAGCATACACTACAACCCAGGAGCTGGTGCACTGGAGTTGGGAGCGAGCTGCTTACTTAGTGTGGATCTTGGGCAAGTGACTCCGAGGCTCCTGCCCTCACCTCATTTGCAGGGTGCATGGGGCTGTGACTGCGGTTGGTGAGGTGTACTGACACAATGCTCAGTAGGGCCAATGCACAGGAAGCACTCACCAAATGTCACCTCTGACTGTTCATTTTTTTCTGACTCCAGAATGCAAGGTCATCTTTACCATCAAGATTAAGTGGCACTTGGTATAATTTTAATGTTGTGGGTTTTGTAGTATTCCAACTTCTTGGTAGCTTGTTATTTGGAAGAGGGAGAAATTGTAGAGTATTAAATTAATCTGAACACTTATTCCTTAAAAAATACCAAGAATAATTAAGACTCTAATTTACCCTGTAAGCGGATAGATGCCATAGTCTAAGGGGGTGTGTGTGTATGTGAGTGATTCCTGCTACCAGGAAACTACTCTAGACTCCACAACGTGGCTCTTGTGTGCTGTAGGACTGTGTTTGGCTGCATGCCATGCCACTCAAATCTGTTTAACTTCTTTTTGAATTTTTGCTCCCTTTTTCGGACATTCTATTATTATCTTCATCTTTCCCCATCAGATATACTATGTATTTGTTCCTGTACTCTGTATCTTTGCTATATACATAAAAAGAGTAAAGTATTTTTTATTCCCCAAGGACTAGTCTTTGCCCTCTAGGGGACAATATCACTGTCTTTGAGAATGCATGCTTTAAAGTGAAGCAAGCCATACCTCCATTATACCATTTTTCTTCAAATGTTTCAAAGTAACAGGAAAGAAAGAGGAAAACATGTTGTCCTGTCTTTTTTTTTTTTTTTTAACATGAGGTTCATGTGCTTTTGAAGTCATGGATTTTAGGTACTAAAGCATGCTCTGGGATGCAGTAATTCTCAAATGACATTAAGGAATAGCTGTAGAGATGAGTGGGGTGGGGGCTGGCACTGGGCACATCAAAGACTTTGGTCTCTGTGACTTGAGTTACCAGGTGCACAAGCATGCAGCAGGCTTTATTTTATTTAAAAGATATGGCACATATTTCTACAGTTGAAGTTTGTTTTTTTTTTTAAAGTAACATTTCTTTTTTTTTAATTTTTATTTATTTATGATAGTCACACACACAGAGAGAGAGAGAGAGAGGCAGAGACACAGGCAGAGGGAGAAGCAGGCTCCATGCACCGGGAGCCTGACGTGGGATTCGATCCCGGGTCTCCAGGATCGCACCCTGGGCCAAAGGCAGGCGCAAAACCGCTGTGCCACCCAGGGATCCCTACAGTTGAAGTTTGAAGCCTTCTTGGAATAATTTAATTTTTGTGGAATAAAGGAGAATTCTGAAGATGTCTAATTTGCACTGATGTCCTGTGTCCGTTGCGACCCTGCCTGTGAAGATCAGTTGTGCAGCAGTGTTCTTATTGCTGGATATTAAGTTCTGTTTTAGTCCCTGCTAAAATATAAAAAAGTCTAAAAAATATTTAATAAAAATTAGTTGTGGTAAAATACATATAGCATAAAACTTACCATATTGACCATTTTTAAGTGTTAGAAATCTTTTGATATGAGTCAATTTCAAGATTCTGAAATAGAAAAATTTCATTTGAACAACTTTATAAAAATTATAAAGCATTTTTTCAACTGTGTCAAGTGTTGAGTTGTTCAGCATGGTATTTTTTACTTGTGTTGCATAAATAATTAGTGAAGAGATGGGAGAGTATCCTCTTACTCGTGTATCTTTTAGTAAGTGTGGCCCTCTCATTTCTCTAGGTGGCCGTCAGAACCAAGAGCAAAGAACTCAGAGAAATATAATAAATGTACCTGCAGAGAAACGCACAGAAAATGGCGTAAGTAATAGTGAATCAAGTTGAAATTTTGGAATTGCTTTTTACAGATACGAATGACCTTGGGTTACAATTTCTCTTTAAAGACTTATTTGGGGGCGGGATCCCTGGGTGGCGCAGCGGTTTGGCGCCTGCCTTTGGCCCAGGGCGCGATCCTGGAGACCCGGGATTGAGTCCTACATCGGGCTCCCGGTGCATGGAGCCTGCTTCTCCCTCTGCCTATGTCTCTGCCTCTCTCTCTTTCTCTCTCTGTGACTATCATAAATAAATAAAAATTAAAAAAAAAAAAAGACTTATTTGGGGGGTAGAAATTAGTATTTCTGTTGAATATTTCTAAAGTTTTCATGAAGTTCCACAGAGCCACTGAGTGGTTTTAGCAGTCCGCGTCTGGCCCACACACACAGGCGGGCCCCGGGCACAGCCACTGCCTGCCGCCCCCAACATCCCTGATACCCCCCCCCCCAGCCATGGCGCCTCTTGGCACAGCAGCTATTCCCTCCAGGGCATGTGACTGATTGGCCCGTCCCCAGAAGCAGGTGCTCTCAGTTCTAGACTGGGAGATGAGCAAGCAGACTCGCTTGGATCTTCCATGTGGATGTCTCAATCCTTCTGTCAGGTTTTGAAAGACAAAATGCCTGGTGGGTTGTAGTCTCCTTCCTAGTTGTCTTAAGCAGAGGACTTGCTTTATCAGATGGTATAGCCCTGGAGAACAGGCCTGACGGGGGAGGGGGGGAGTGGGAGGAAGTGTGTCTCAGTGGAGGAACTCTTTTTAAGAAATGTTGGTGTCCGTGAAAAGAATGAGCAGAAATGAAGGAATGAATGGGGATGAGTGAATGAGAGAAATTTTCAACGTAGTCTTTTCTGGAAGTTTTAGTAATAACTTTTCCAAGTAATTTTCAGGCTAGAGAATTAGTTTCTTTTTCTGGCTCTGCCACTAACCAGATGTGTGACCTTGGGCAGGTTACTTCCTAGCACAGTGCTTGGCACAGCCTGATGCGGGTAAAGAACATGGTCTGGAGTGTGCAAGGCCCATATTCAGGCACTGGCTTCAGAACTTCATGGCTAGTTAAACCTGAGCAAGTTACTTTGCCTTTCTACTTCCCAACTTATTGTTGTTGAGCTGTGATTTTAGTTTATTAGCTACTGTTGTGAGTTCCTTGAGACGCCTGGGTGGCTCAGCAGTTGAGCATCTGCCTTTTGCTTGGGGCATGACCCCGGGGTCCTGGGATCGAGTCCCACGTCGGGCTCCTTGCAGGGAGCCTGCTTTTCCCTCTGCCCGTGTCTCTGCCTCTCTCTCTCTGTGTGTGCGTGTCTCCTGAATAAATAAATAAAATCTTAAAAAGAAATAATATCCTTATCTTTCTCTTACTTTGTACAACTTTAAACCATGGCTCTGGACCTCTCTCCGGAGGGTGAGGGTATGAGCACCTCCCCTTTTTTAAAGATTTTTATTTATTTATGAGCAACACAGATTTGTTCACTCCAAATCTAGAGTCTCGGGTTCTGTGAGGCATATCTGCTTCAGAAAGTCTTAACAAATAAAGGCCCAGACCCCATTGGTAGGACTTTTGATTCAGTGAGTCTGGGGTGAGCCTGCAAAACTCTGCCATATGACTGTGTCACCCTGCCAGGATGGGGAACCTCCAGGTTATATGCATACACTGCCAAAAACATCCAGAATTTACTTGTCAAACCAAATTTCAAAGATAAAAGAATCTTTCGAGTTCTAAGATTGCCTATGACCTGAACTTCAGGGAAGGTGAAATAAATTTATTGAGTGTTATAATACAGTGCTTTGTATTGAGGTGTATATATGATACAGGGAAGGGGCTCAGGAGGAAAGGATGAATTCTTTTTTTTTTTTAAATTTTATTTATTCATGAGAGACCCAGAGAGAGAGGCAGAGACACAGGCAGAGGGAAAAGCAGACTCCCTGCGGGGAGCCCGATGCAGGACTCAATCCTAGGACCTTGGGATCATGCCCTGAGCCAAAGGCAGATGCTCAACTGCTGAACCACCCAAGCGTCCTGAAAGGATGTGAGTTCTAATGTTCAGATGTGGGGGGTCTGTGATCTTTCCCAGATGAAGTTGTTTCTTAACATGGAGATAATCTTTATATCTCAAGATCAACAAAACTGAAACCTGAAACCAAAGTTAAAAATATGTTTGTAGTCTTTATGTGAGTTTTTAATTAGAGGAAAGCAAAGAGCTATTAGGAGGTGTAACTTTGCACTGGAAGCATCACATCAAAGACGCTGATGTATTTTATGGCTCGTATACCTGCCTGTTAAGCCCAATAAATATCGCATTTGTAAATTTCTTACTGTCTACAAAGTACTTCTATGTGCATTTTTAAAGTTCATAAGATACTAAAAACATCTTTCTTCAGCAATGTTTTTGTATATACCCTGGATATAGAATAATGGCACACTGAGCCTTCTGCTTTGTAAGCTACAGCAGCCAGGAATGGATCAAGCTGCAGCTGAGAGAGGAGGGCGTGTGGGTTTTTGGAGGAGGACAGGAAGCTGAGTTGGTGTGATTCATGCCCATTAGCAGCTGCTGGGACAAGGAGCTTGGGAAATTTTGCTGTCTAAAAATTTCAGGTCAACAGGTCAGGTTTTCTAAGAAATAAATGCCCACACCACTGGCCCAACTTTGATTCAGTGAGTCTGAGGTGGGCCTACATATGACTGTGTTGCCCTGCCAGGTTGGGGAACTTCCAGGTTACATGCACACACTGCCAGAAGCATTCAGAACTTACTTGTCCAATAGAATTCTGGGGATCTGGTTTGACTATATGCCATAAAGGCAGATGGATTTATTCTGATAGTATATACTTGTGTCTGGGGTCTCCAGGACCACCCCTAGTTTTAGTGACTTACCAGGAGGACTCACAGGACTCAAGATCTTATTGTGCTTGCAGCTGTGATCCACCACAGTGAGAGGATACAGAACAAGCTCAGCAGGGTGCAAAGACGCATGGGGTGAAGTCTGAGGACAACAGGTACCAACTCCAAAGAGTCCTTCCCCAGTCGTGGTGGGGGGGTACCACAGAGGACGTGCTCAGTCCTCCAGCAACCGGCTGTGATAAGTGTGACTCGTTGTCAACCAGGGAAGCTCAGTAGAGCCCCAAGTGCCCAGGTGGTCTAGGAGAGCTGGTCATGTAGGCAGCCTCTGTGTAGCAGGTACAAAAACACCAGACTCCCAGAAGAAAGCAGGTATTTAACACAAACCATCTTACTTGCACAAACATTTGAGGTTCAACAAGCCTCTCTTACCACTTCTGGGAATGGTGGGGACCCTCCCCAAATCTGAGTTCCCAGAGGAGAGCCCCAGGGCCCCCTTCAGGCAGGCCTATAAGGAGAGTGGTCTCAGGTCTACGGCGTAAACACTTCTGTACAGCACCATTTTCCTTAGGTGTCCTGGAAGTGCTTTTTCCTGTTTTCTCAGCCAACCGTACTAAACTCTGAGTCAGTTCCTGTTTATTCCTGTACACATGCAGTAAACTGCTGAAGTGAATTGATCCTGCCCCCTCTGCTTTCTTCTAAAAGCTCTATAGTTTTAGCTCTTACATTTGGGGCTATGTGTTGGTTTTTCTGTGTGGTATGAAATAGAGGTCCAAATTTATTCTTTAGCCTGTTAATATCTAGTTTGTGCCTGCAGCATTTGGTGAAAAGACTGTTCTTTCCCCCATCGAATTGTCTTGTTGGTATCTTGGTCAAAGCAATTGGCTGAAACTGTGAGAGTTTATTTCTGGAAGCGTTTGTTATTAATATGGTGACTTGGTTCAACTGTGTTTAAGATCTCTAGATCAGGTAACATTTCAAGCATCTGGAGGATAAACCTGGAAACTTCTGCTGCTTCTAGAGTCAGGAAGTGTTGCCAGTTCTCAAGACACCTATTCTATGGTGTACCTGGGCCTGTCCGGTCTCCGCTTCTCCACACCTGTCCAGCTTTGGGGGCGTCTGAGACCTCCTCGAGTTCCTTTCCCATTCATTTTCTTTTCAGGTCCTGACATTTTTGTGGTCTCCTCTCCTCCTGCTAGATCATTTCTGTAGTTTTCTGTTATTTGATGTCAGAATCCCTTTACTTTAATTTAGTGGTTTGGGGATTTAATGAAATTAGGATGAAAGAGTCCTCCTCACTTTTCCCTGTTGGGATTTGTTGAATTTACTAATTCTGGGGCTCAGCATCTATCAACACGTCTGAAAAATTCTCTGCAGTTATCTATACAGGTATTTCTTCTTCCACATTCTTTTTTATTTCTTCCGGAACCCTTCTTAGACATATGCTGTGTCTTTCCTTTTATTCTCCTTGTCTTTTACATTCTCTTTTATGTTTTTACTTTCTTTGTCCCTTTGTACTATGTTCTGGATGGTTTCTTATGGTATATCTTTCAGTTCATGAACTCTGCCATTAGCTTATTTATTTGGCTTTTGGTACGTAAAATGTGCTTTTAATATTATTTGTTATGAAAAGACAAGACACAGTCTGGGAGAAAATACTTGCAGATCCTTTATCTGACAAAGGATGGGAATGTAGAAAATACAAAGAAGTCTTAAAATTAATAAGAAAATAAACAACTTGATTTTAAAAGAAACAGGCAAAAGATTTGAATAGGTGCTTCACCAAAGAAAATATATGTATGTCAGGTAAGCACATGGAAGGGTGTTCAACATCAGTAGTCTTTAGGAAAATACGAGTTAAAACCACAGTGAGATATACTATATACCTATTAGAATGTCTGAAACTAAAAAGACTGATCCTAACAGGTATTGGTGAAGATGTGGAGAGCCCAGAATTCTCAGACACTGTTGTTGGAAATGTAACATGGTACCATCTGATAAACAGTGTGACAATTTCTTTCAAGCCTGAACATGAACTGGGGCACCTGCAGGGCTCAGTTAAGCATCTGCCTTCAGTTCAGGTCATGATCCAGGGGTCCTGGGATTGAGGCCCAAGTAGGGCTCCCTGCTCAGCAGGAGGGCAGTCTGCTGCTCCCT